CCATCCTCCAGCATCTTCCTCATGACTGTAGGCAGGGCAGGGGCTGGTGTGCCCTGCAGGGTGGCGGGGCAGAGAGATCTGGGAGGCCAAACAGAAGACTTCCGGCACAAATGCCAGCAAAGCCATGGAAAACGGGAAAGTCCTGGATGAGGTAAGAGGCTCTGGACTGCCTTCTCTATAGGTCCTTTCCAAAGAGAGCAACATGCCTTTTCAGTGGACATGGTGAAAATGAGAGTCACAGACCCATCTCTTTTTACCATCCTTGTATATATAGAGCTGGCTCTTTCTGATTCTCCAGGCATTCACCTGGATTTGTTTTCTGAACCAAGCACTCAGCTGCAAGAATTGCTCTACCCAAAACAGAAGACGAGAGCTTCCCAGGTGGCGCTATTGGTAAAGAACTCACCTGCCAATACAGGAGGGGTAAGAGAAGAGGATTCGATCCCTGGGTCAGGAAGATCCCCTGGAGGAAAGCATGGCCAACCCACTCCAGTATTCTTGCCTGGAGAAACCCCACAGGCAGAGGAGCCTGGCGGGCTACAGTCTGTAGGTTCACAGAGTCAATCAGAAAAGCACAGCACAGGATCTGAAAATCTGAATATAGAACCATCTAGACTGTGTTAGTTAGGCGATTTTCCATCTGATATCCTGGCTACTCATTCCTTCATTCACCAGATACGTTTAATGATCTCCTACTGGACAGGTGCTGTGCTGGGCCTGGGAATTCAACTGCCAACAAGAAAAGTCCATCACTGCCTTCACTGAGCTGTCAGCTGACTGTCAATCACTCCAACCTACAACACCCTCTGTTCAGTAAAGGAATCTCAGGAGTGCTTTGGATCAGAGACGCACACTATGACCCACAGGCCAAATACGGGTGGCCTTGCTTCCATCAGCCATGTTTTATTGAAACACCCATGTCCATTAGCCTGTGTGTGGTCTATTGCTGCTTCAGTGCTACAACCTCAGAGTTGCTACAAGAGGACTGCAAAGCCTGATATATTACTAACTGGTCCTGTACAGAAAAGTTTGCCAATACTTGCTCTAAATAAAACCTAATGTTTTAAGAATAAATATATTAAAGGAAACATATTGTCACTCATCAAACATCTCTGGGTGCCCTAGCTACAAACCCAGTCATGAGGGAGGCTGGCTTTCTGCCAAGTTGCATTTCTACTGTTGCAAGTTTTGTTTCTGTATTTTTTCCTTCTTTCATTATAAAGGCAGATAAAAAAACTGTCACATGGCTAATGTCTTCAATTAACAGCTAACTCTTTTCGGAGGATGTTCACATTCTCTTATATTGTATCTAGTCTTTTGATTGATCAGAGTTCTTCCATATCATGGAAGGCCCATTTTTTCCAATGATCCTTTTCGCTGAATCACACCAAACAAGTTTTGACAGGAGTGATTTTAGGCTATCTTTTAAACTGAACAATAAAATTGATTGTAAAAGCACTTAGCCACCACTCAAGTGCTATATAAATGCAAAATCATAGCAGCAATAGTACCTTCACTTCCCTGCAGAGAGAAATATGAGTGGATGCTTTTCCCCAATCACTTGACCCAGAGAGCATTAAAATTTTAAATGTAAAAAAAAATAAATAAATAAACTAGCTTTCATTGGCTGTTACCAAAAATCCCTAATAAGAAGTGACAGGATCTGTGCCGGTTGTGGTTCTTCCGAAGGATGTTAAGCGGCTCAGCGGTGGCTGTGGCTGACCATTGATTTGCCACTCCCTAAACCCTTTTCATCCCCTAAATGGGAATCAATGTAGCATGAATAAAATTAAACGGCCATTTAGTTCATATTTAGTCACTATAATGAAGCAATAGCTGGCTAAAGAAAGATCTTTGCCAAGCCTTGGTTCCTGAAAGTTTTCCCATCGGCTAACCATAATGTCCATTTCATGGGTCAAGAGAAAGGAGAGTGAGTCCACCAGTGAACTCAGAACCAAGAATGAGATGATAACAAGAGGCAGCATGGAGAAGGTCTGGCTGATTTGGTAACAAGAGAGGTTTCTGTTAGGTACCAGCTTAGATGTTCTATCGTTGAAAACACCTTCCTTGATATCCTTAGATCAAGTCATTTCCCTCCAATACATAGCTCTTAACATGCGATACTCCTGTATCACAGTTGCAGCTGGGTCATTCCTTACTTCCTTGGTCCTGTGATGGCAATGATCCTCGGTGAGTTCCACTGAGCTCATGACCTGCCTCTGCAGGGCAGAAATTGCTACAGTGAACACACAATAAGCAATGAAAAAAAAAATTAGCTTATTGTGTATTTCTTACATGGATAGGTAAGCAAGCTGGATGCTATGTGCTCTGATAGCATGTAAGAAATACCCTGGTCATTCTAGGATATGCTCCTCAAAACTAACGGCCCATGTCTTCCTGTCCTGAGCTAGGCTCTAGGAAAATGCACAAACTGCACACCAGCTCCTGATATCCTCACCACCAACTACCTCCTCTCTGCTCTTTCACTCTCCTGTCCTAACTTCTCTTGATATATAATCATGACCAAGTTGATCCCAGCTGCAAAAAAGGAAAAAAAAAAAAAAAAACAGTATCCCATCACCTCCACCTCACCTAGCTGTTCTTACAAAGGCTGAAAAAGACAAACCTGCGGCCTACCTGCAAATTCTCTTGCCACTTCTCTGCAGACCTCACCCTAATAACCATGCCTCTATTCTTAAAATGCTTTACTCTCTGACTTTAGTGCCACTATTCCCCTGATTCTTCTTCTATACCATACCCTGTCAATGCTATAATCTAATATACCTAAAAACTGATCTTCTTCTTCCTCAAACCATTAACAACTCCTGTATTCATGGCTACATCAGTCTTCCGCCAGACCTCTCAGCTCCCTCCAATCCAATCTGCACAGTGAAGTCATAGGTTCACCTCAATAATGCTCCAAAGTAATTTCACTGGTTCTATTACATTGCGACTCTGGCCCTCACCTTCAAGTGCCTTTGTACTGTAGAGTTTAACTTACATATGACAAATACAGGCCCCATGAAACAGCTATTCTGTCTGATCTTCACCACAATATCCACTGGACTCCTGACACCTTTATATGTGTTAAAACATATTCAAGGTAATGCTTTCTAAATCTTGACAAGGCCTCCAAACTACTGATTTTGGAAGGCTGGTTCCAAATACTGGTATTCCCACCATTACTCATGAAAAAAGAGCAAAAGTCTTACTCAGAGTCATCAATTTGTGCTCCTGACCATCATTCCCGGTTTCTCTCTTCATTTTGTCATTTGTGGTCCATATCCCTGCTCTGAAAGTCATCCAGATTATGCATGTTCCAAATTATACAGGCTCTTTATTGCACTTGATCCAAAGACTTACTTCTAAAGCAGTAAGTCTTCCCAAATATAAATAAGTAGAATAGTTGCTAACACAATTTTTTGCCAAGTGACTGAGTCTCACTGTAGCCACATGAAACACTGTAAATCTCTTGATTTTAAGCAGAAAAAAGGCAGCTGCAAACAATCCCAAGAATGTGATCAATGTGTACGTAGTTAGAGACAAATACCGCTCTTGAAAAAAATATACCCTGCTCAGGAACACGGTCCACGTTATGAGTTTTTCTACATTATGAGCATTTTATGAATATTAAATAACAGTACATGTCTTTATAATCTATGACTCCTGATGACCTCAAGTCCAAAATGTGTTTCTGAACTTCCAGCCTATGAAGCTATACAAAGCCTTTCATAATTCAGTACAAGCCACTGGTCCCACTTATTAGCTGCCACTTTTATTAGACATTCAGGTTACATTAAAACACAGTCTTCCCCAAATATGCTCGGCTTCCTGCCTTTACTCTTCTCATCCTTTTCATTTGCAATGTATTTCCCACTTCTACCCCTATTTCCTAAGTATCTGTTACCTATGCCACTGTCAGGGTACCACCTCCTCCAGCGAGCCCTCTGCCCCACAGCATTTTATCTGAATCTCCTAATGAAATCCCACCCTGCCCGTGAATGTTTCCTACCTAACTCTACATCTAGTTCTACCCCAGGCCTGGGAGGTCTTTCAAGGAGGAGACCATGTGTGTGCCATCTTTGACATCTACAGTACCTTACATCAGTTCAGTTCAGTCACTCAGTCGTGTACGACTCTTTGCGACCCCATGAACTGCAGCACACCAGGCCTCCCTGTCCATCACTAACTCCCGGAGTCCACCCAAATCCATGTCCATAAAGTCGGTGATGCCATCCAATCATCTCATCCTCTGTCGTCCCCATCTCCTCCTGCCCTCAATCTTTCCCAGCATCTGGGTCTTTTCAAATGAGTCAGCTCTTTGCATCAGGTGGCCAAAGTATTGGTGTTTCAGTTTCAACATCAGTCCTTCCAATGAACACTCAGGACTGATCTCCTTTAGGATGGGCTGTGGTTCCTTCAAAATAATGCGGGCTCAATAAAAGACGTGTTGGGGACTTCCCTGGTGGTCCAGTGGCTGAGACTCCACACGCCAATGCAGGGGGCTGGACATATATCCCTGGTCAGGGAACTAGTTCCTACATGTCCCAACTAAAGATCCCGAGACCTCAAGGAAGATTCCATGTGCTGCAACTAAGAACCAGGCAGCCAAATATACATATTGTTAAAAATAAATTTAAAAATGTGCATAACGCACTCATCTACCAACCGCAGCAATGGCCTCCAAGCACAGGCATCTTCTGCCCCTAGGAGGGAACCATTTTTTTTTTGGGGGGGGGGGGGGTCAAGCCAGGCTTGAACACGCCTGAAGGTTAGAACACACCCGGGCGCCCACACATTTGGAGGCGCAGGCCGGTGTCTACCTCCAGAAGCTCCAGCGCCGCTGTGATCCACTGCATCGGGTAGAGAGACACGGAACACGTGCGGCGCTCCGCGCCTGGCGGCCCATGGCGCTAATACTTGTCTCCAAACGAGGCCACGCGCCAGGCACGCGGGGAGGCGGAGACGGGGGAGCCGGTGCAGGGCGCCTCCGCACCTACCTTCGGGGACCCTGCAGAGCAAGGAGGGCTCCTCCCGCGGGGAGCCGGTGCAGGCGGGGACGGGGCCGCGGGGACTGGAGCTCTGCGACGTCGCCGGCGGCCCTAGCCCGACCGCCCAGAGAAGGCCGCCCGGCGCCGGCTTCCGTTCGCGCTCCGGCAGCGCGCAGGGAGGGCCGGGCCGCGCGCCCCACAAGCCCCCGCGTGGGAGCGCGCTTCACGCCGCCTGGGTGGGCGCGGGTCTTCCCGGCGGCCCCTGCGAGGGTCCGCGCCGCGCGGGCAAACGCTCAGGCGAGGTCGCGCGCCTCCCCGAGGATCGCATCCCCTCGGCTTCCCGCCAGAAGGGGAAATCGAGTCCTGGAGCAAGCCCTCGGGGAGACTTCTGGAAGGAGATACGGTGATTCCAGCGGGGGAGGGGGAGTAGCTTGGACAGGATGAATTCGAAAACGACTCTTCTTTTCCCCAAAATGAAATTAAACTTGTGTTTCTTCCAAGAAATTGTGATCATTACAGAATGATGTTGCTCTCTGTTCACCTTTCACATCATATGTTTGTCAATTTGGGGGGGAGGGGGGCGGCGGTGGGAGCCTTACGTCTTACAAAAAAAAAAAAAAATGCTTCCATCGTTTAGAATCCCAGTTCGATTCCAAGAACCCTGAGGACAGATTCTCTGCAGGTTTCTTTGATGTTACACGCAGTGCTTGATCGCTATTGGATAGAAATCTCAGCGTGTATTTATTGTGTAAAATAGCGAGCATGTCTACGTGGAGATCTGTATGGCTGATTTTAACTAAATGGATGAATCTTTCTTATTAAGATAATACATGTGCATCCAATCCGTTATTGTACATTTCTTTAAAATGTTAAGCATCGTTGTTCTAGCCATCTGCCCGTTAACGAGAATCAATGCTGCAAAGTCCATTGTAATTTGTTTAATATGTTCTTCATTAATCATGAAGAGGTAAAATTCAGGTAAGCGAAGACAGAGTTATCTTGAACTACAAATTAATGAACCCTCGATTACTGTTTACTGTATTTGCTGTTCTCTTGGAGACATATAAATCCAATCAGCGTGCATTGATCACAGACATAATCTAGAGTCACAGAGGGGAGACGTTGCCAAATTTGTCCTTGTTGGGGCAAGTGCGAAATGCGTTTCAATTCCACTCATTCATTTATTATGCAAATTGGACTGAACTATTACGTGCCAGGCACCAAGTGAGGCATGATCATTGCCCTTTGCAACTGTGCAGTCTGATAATTAAAACAAACCTGTAAACAAACTATCAAAATATAGTGCAAGCACTGAAATTCAATTGGAAAACTGCAGAGTCAGTTTTAAAATCTCATCCTTTCTCACCAAACCATGGCTAAGTATCTATTAACCTGACAAACATTTACCATTTTTTTAAAGCTGATGGAGTGGTTATGGATTTTACAAAAATGTACAGTAGAAAATAACTTCCATGAAAATTGTACAAGTTTTAATACCGCTTTTTGTCTTACTCATCCCTAGTGGGAGTATATAATACATATGTAATAAGTCATCATTAAATGTTTGGTGAATAAAAAATAAATGGATTTTCATTATCTTAAATCATTTAATTTGTGCTTTTTAGAAACGTTTCTGTAAATATTGTGATCTGGCTGTGTGTACCAGAGCCTGAACAACTTTTCTAAACAAGTTTATAAAGACCAAAGGAAGGTGAAAATGTGCAAAGATGCAACTGCAGTCTCTTAGCTCTTCTTGTTAATTGCGCTTAAATGTAGAGTATTTGAAGGCGGCTTGAGTACAACGTCAGAAAGTCATGCTTCTCTCATGTAAGGTTTCAAGACAACAAATTCGTTGATTGCCAATCTGTACATAAAAGAGGAAATGGTTAATGGCACCTACATGTTTTCAAGGTCCAAATAAAAATACAAAGGAAAAATGGTTTACCTCTAAGCAAAATATGAAACTTTAGTTGGGGAAGAGTACTAAGTTACTATCAGCCAGTTTAATGTAAATTAAAATAAGTAACTGAATAAGTACAAAAGATGTAATCAAGGAACAATGCTAATTTTAAAAAATGGGTTCATGTTTCCTATTTTTCATGATAAGCTATTTCTTCTTCTTTTTTTTTTTTTTTTTTCTGGGCCACACTGGGAAGCCGGTGGAACTTCCTTGACCAGGGATCAAACCCATGCCCCTTGCAGTGAAAGTGTATAGTATTAACCAATGGACCACAAGGGAAGTCCAACAATACTAAATTTTAAATGGCTCTTTTAACCACAAAGAACAGAAAGTAGACTATCTGATAAAATGCTAAATGAGAATGTAAATCGTATTTTTAAAAGACTATTGTTAAAAATATTATTTGATTTCGTAAAGATTTGCCTTATTTTAAAATATAGTTGTGGAAATGGTGGTAAACTGTTCTATAAAGAAATAGAGAAACTTCAGTAATTCCTAGACCAACACTCATTTGTTGTTGTTCATTCACTCAGTTTTGTCCAACCCTTTGTGACCCCGTGTGCCCCCCTGCAGCACTCCAGGCTCCCCTGTCCTTCACCATCTCCCAGAGTTTGCTCAAACTCATGTTCATTGAATAGATGATGGCATCAAATCATCTCCCTTGTCCTCTGTTGCCCCCTACTCCTCCTGTCTTCAATCTTTCCCGGCTTCAGTCTTTTCTAATGAGTCAGCTCTTCACATCAGGTGACCACAGTATTGGAGCTTCAGTTTCAGCATCAGTCCTTTCAATTCAGAATTGATTTCTTTGCCGTCCAAGGAACTCTCAAGAATCTTCTCCAACACCACGGTTTACACCCTTTTACACAGGAGAAAATTAAGCTCCGTGTTCAATTTAGTAGTTCAAAAAACATATATTGTGTCCTAAGTACAAACAAGAAAGTCCTTGTCTTCAATGATCCTGCCATGCAGTAAGGGAGCAAATTTTACCATCAAGATAATAATAACTAGCAAACACTGACCATACTGTTCCAGGTAATCATGGATTGTCTAATTTAATTCATCCTCACAAAATTTTTAGAGGGAAAGTGCTGTTTTCTAGTCATTTTACAATGAGGAAACTGAAATTAAAATTTAGATTGGTTAACTCATCCAAAGATATTTAGTTAGTAGATGGTCTTACAGAAAATGCATTAACTTCATCCCTTCACTCTAGCACATCCAGGAAGCCAGCTAGGACTCTGCTTAGCTGCTGTCCTTTAATTCCGTTCCTTGTACAGAGTATTTCATCCACTGGCATTTTAATATTTTTAGCAGTACCTGAGGCAGTGAACTGTGCAGTGCTTTTAACCATTCATCAGACTTCTTGGATCTCAGTCTCTCGGTTAGACCTGATCACTTTCACATCTATTTTAATTTCATATTGGTATTTCTCATCACTCACTTTTCTGTGCCCCATATTTTATTTAAATTGATCTAACCACATAACATAATTTTCAGCAAGTTATGATCTCATGGTTATTAAAATTAGCATCATTCCACAAAATTCTACATACTACTATCTTTAATAGTTCAACTACTGTTAACACAAAATAAGTAATTTGTATTGTCATGTATATAATTATTATATAGTTATAGTCCAGATGGCGTCTTGCAACTTTTCCCTCATCTTTGTCAATATGATTGGTATCTTTCCTTTAAGAAGAATAAAATCTTGGGACTTCCCTGGAGGTTCAGGGCTAAGACTCTGTACTCCCAACACAGGAGGCCTGGGTTTGATTCCTGGTCAGAGAACTAAATCCCAAAGCCTCAACTAGGAGTTCTCATAATGCAACTAAAAATCCCACATGCCACATACAAGATTGAAGATGCCATGTGCCCCATTGGGACCTGGTACAGCCAAAGAAATAAGTATTTTAAAAAAGAAGACTAAACTCTGTAAAAATTTCCAAGTGTTTAAGACCAGTGAAAAGTGTTGGTCAAAGTGTCAGTTGCTCAGTTGTGTCCTACTCTTTGCAACCTCATGCTAGCCCTCCAGGATCCTCTGTCCATGGAATTCTCCAGGCAAGAATACTAGAGTGGGTAGCCATTCCTTTCTCCAGAAGATCTTCCCAACCCAGGGATCAAACCTGGATTTCCTGCATTGCAGGCAGATTCTTTACCATTGGGCCACCAGGCAAGCACTTAAAACCATTAAACTATGTCAAATTCATGAGAAAAAATTAAGTTTTTTTAAAAAGCATGTAATTTTGTATTTTAGAGTTTAGAATTCTAGAAAGAGGAAAAATTGAAAACATTTTCAGATAATCTCACTATTCCTTTCTTTAACATAAAGAGGAAAGGATATGTCTCTTTTTAATATACCTAAAATTACATATTGTAAAAATAATTTTTCCCCAAAATAAAATATGTTACTTTGTCTAAATGATTATATTTGAAAAGAATTTTTGAAGTATTTTTAAAACATTTTTATTTTGAGTTCACAGAGAATCTTTGGCTTTAAAAGAAATATAACAAAAAAAAACACAAAAATCTATGTGTAAAATGAGTAATTATTTTTTGTAAGAATAATATTTCCTAATTAATGTGATTGCAAACTCATTTTTTTTCTCCTGGCAATCTTGATTCCAGCTTGTGCTTCATCCAGCCCAGCATTTCAGATGATGTATTCTGCATATAAGTTAAATAAGCAGGGTGGCAATATACAGCCTTGACATACTCCATTCCCGATTTGGAACCAGTTTGTTGTTCCATGTCCATTTCTAACTGTTACTTCATGAGCTGCATATAGATTTCTCAGGAGGCAGGTCAGGTGGTCTGGTATTCCCATCTCTTGAAGAATTTCCCACAGTTTGATGTGATTCACACAGTCAAAGGCTTTGGCATAGTCAATAAAGTAGAAGTAGATGTTTTCCTGGAACTCTCTTGCTTTTTCAATAATCCAATGGATGTTGGCAATTTGATCTCTAGTTCCTCTGACTTTTCTAAAACTGGCTTGAACATCTGGAAGTTCATGGTTCACATATTGCTGAAGCCTGGCTTGGAGAATTTTAAGCATTATTTTGACCAACCTAGGCAGCATATTAAAAAGCAGAGATATTACTTTGCTGACAA